CATAAAACCAGGCCAGTGACAGGGCTTGGGAATCTAAACAATTACTGCCTCAGTTGTAGACCCATTCATCAGGCCGACGTTGGAAGTGGCCCTGACAGCTCTGGGTTAGTAGATGTTTCTCTCAAGCTGCAGTACACCTGGCCCTAGACGTCCACAGATGCCTTAGGCTCACATAAAGTCTTTCTCATTAGAAGCTTTGAAGTGTCCACTAGCCACTATTTACAATGGCAGGGTTCCCAAGCTCAAGCGTCATCAGGGGCCAATGTCATATGGGATGTTGCCAGGGACTGCAACATGATGGCCAGTCAGCTGAACTCAGTACTCCTTATTCACCAACTTGGCTTCTACAGACTTATCTGTGTTCATTGACAGTATAAAGCTGACTTTTGTAGAAGGAAATCCTGCTATTTGTGACATGGATGAGCTAGAGGGCATTATACCAAGTGAAGTAAGCCAGACACAGAAAAATAAATCCTGTATTATTTCACTTACATGTGGAATCCAAAAATGTCACATTCATAAAAGCAGAGAGTAGAATGGTAGTTGCTAGGGGCAGGGTGTGTGTGGAAGTGGGTAAATGTTGGTCAAGGTTAACAACCTCACTCATGCAGTATGAATGAGTTCTGGAGATGTGATGCACAGCGCGGTGACTATAGTTAACAGTAGCGCATTGTGTACTTGAAACTTGCTTAGAGAACAGGTCATAAGGATTCTCACTCCTTTCCCACTCCCTGCTCAACAAACACAAAATGGTAACTATATGAGATGATGGGTGTGTGAATTAGCTTGATTGTGGAGATCATTTCACAATGCATACATACATCAAAACATCACATTTACTTTTAAATATATATACACATTTATTTCTTTATTATACCTTAATAAAGCTGGAGAAAAATGAAGTTTACTTTTGTGACAATTGCTTTTATTTCAAGGAAGCCTATTTCAGTAATTGAATTTGTCGGCCCAGCTATTGTACCAAGAAGCCAGGAAAGACCTTCAGTGGGTCTGCCTTCAGGCCATGCAGAGCAGGGGCAGGCCTGTGACAGGATGGGGTGGGGGAGCCTCCCCTGCCTCCCTGGGACTTCCTGCAATGGCTCTCAGCACCACCATACCTTCTGAGAAACTCCTCCTTTTGGTAACCTGTCCCTTCAAGGGCAAGTGGGGGAGGGCAGATTGGAAAAAGTCTCAGCTGTTGCTCAAAACAGCCCAATTAGTGGACAGCTCCAGCTGGTGTCCTGAGAGACTGACATCCTACACCTTTCGTTTTTTATTCTGATGGAATTGATTTTGGTATATACTTCTGGAGTTACTCTAGTTTTTGAGAAAATGTCCATTAGGGATATCAAGAACCACATGGGCACATCAGAGAGGTGAATGGATACAGCTCTGGATGAGGGACAACCCCTAAGCTTGTTGCAGGGGGTGGCTGGCTCTGGAGAAGCCTGTCTGGAGGCAGGTCTTCTACCCAAGAGAGCTTCTCCCTGGGGAACCCAAGGAGCCCGGCCCACTCTGACAAAAGTGGATGGGAGAGATGTCTACCATGATCCTAGGTCTTTAGATTATCCCAAGATTATGTTGGTGGTCAACAAAAACAAACCTTTGGCACGTTGGACAATTCTGTCTCAGATCCTTTTACTTAATGTCAATGTTTCATGTCAGGCTCCACCCCTTCAAAAGTCTGGCTTCTGACCCTTTGCTCTCCCAGTCTTGACTTGCAAAACACTCAAACATGCTTTATGTTCTTTAGATGACCCCAGCCAGATTCAATCCTTTGTGGGCCCCTCATTTGCCTTTGCTAATGCTCTGTTAAGGTTTGTCAGGACTGGCCCACAGTGAGGGGTGGTTCTGAACAGATAAGCATGTACCAGGAAGGAATGAATGTTTGCAAATGGGGAAGTAATGATGGTGGCCCCAAAGAAATGATACTGTCACGCCCCATCTCTCCTGATGTGGGGGGACTGAGTAACTTCCATTCAAGGGACATGAGGGCGGCAGATTACCAGGAGAACCAGCAGTCAATATGAGGAATATGTATTGAGGAATACGAGGACAGGGTATTCTGCTCGGACACTGAAGTTATAGGCTAGTTTGTTTAGGACATGTGGACTATCCAGTAGGCATGTTGGAGGGTTTCATAGGCCAGCACTGGTGAGTAAGCACAGGGTAGCATGCACATGGCAGGGAAGTGAGAACTGATGATGAGAGTTTTCCATTTAGGATGGATAGCAAAAGGAAATAGGAAGGGAGGCTTGGCAGGCCTGGCTGTTCCAGGTGGAGACGTCAGTTGACACCTGAGGCCTGAAGAGGCTGATGGCCCTGGTGAGAAGTTACTGCGACGGTGGGCTGTGTAACCCTGGGGGCCTCCCGAGGGTTGGGACTGGAGACGTTCAGTACAAGGTGAGTCCAATCGCCTAGGAGGTTTTTGCTTCAATCACTGGGAGAGAATGTTGGGTATCCCTTAGGACACTCGTCTTGTAATGGGTTGATTGCCACTGTGTGCTGCCCAATGAGGAATGCTCCCCCACTGTACTGCAGAAAAGACTAAGGGGAACAGTTTCGAGGGGGCGAAAGGCGAGAGAAATTTTTCACCCTGCACATCTATGTAGCAGAATATGACTTCATCCAATAAACACATTATTTCAGCCGTTGGTCATTTCACTGTTGGCCGAACAGAGGCTGGCGAGTTTGTGTGCACAGGTCCTTGTGTAAGCAAATAAGTTGAAGGTCTCTGAGGGACCTGGCCTCCATCTGTCATTTCTTGCATTTTACAAGGGAAATTGATGATTGGGGTGGGGGGGTCTGAGCCTTCTGTCATCCCTGGAGACAGAGTCCCAGTGTTCTTATTCTAGCATTTTGCTCTCAGGTTTTCATGTCTATCAGAGTTCAAGACCTTTTGGCATTGGAGTGATTTTCTAACTGCCTACATTTTTTTTTTTTTACTAATAAAACCCCTTAAAGTAATAGCTTATACAAAATCACACTGCATGAAACAGAAAAAACTCAGAATTTTATTGGCATGTATTTATTTTATAACTTCACACTTACAACATTTTACTTCATATATTATGGATAAATGAAAATAACGAGGGCACTTTCATAAATACAAAAACACATCAAATGAGGGTGCACTGGATAACTATACCACTTTGGTTGAACAGTATTTAAAGACAAATAATCACAATGATACTTAAAAAAAAATACCTTTCTTACAATCTCAGGATATTCTTCAATTAAAATGATCCATGATCAGAAAGAATGTATTGTTTCAAAGTTGAATTACTAGGAATAGTCAACCATGGCTGGAATACTTGTTACAGAAAAACAAACACGAAATATTCAAACTTACCATAAGAGCTAAACTGGTTTCTAATGCAAAGTTGTCACACTTGACTGACAGATTACATATTTATTTGTTATGGCACAACTGTTAGAACAAAAAAGAGTGTGCATTGGGCTGACAGTACACATCAAGAAAATAATGTCTCAATGTATTGAGGCCTTTTTGTATTCTAGACATCATGGTAAGTGCTTAAAATGTCATTTGATCTTAATGTAATGAACCTATTCTATTACCTTACCATTCTGATGAGGAAACTGATGTTCAGAGGAATTAAGCAACTTTGCTGTACACACAAAGCTCCCATGATGTGCTACATCAACCAGCACTTTGCTGAACGGTGCCCACCACTCTATTTGTACACTTGACATCAAGGACACTCATAAGCCTGATTAAATCCTCGAGAGGAGCTACAGACCCCTTAATCTATGGCCATTAAGAGAAGGTTGGCTGCCTGCTCCGATAGTGCCAGGGAACCTTTTTCCAAGGTCTGCATACAGTGAATCAGTACCAAAACAAAAGTGAGCCTGCTAGGGAATGCCTAGGTGTTCAGTGGTGGCTATCAATACGTTTGTGTCTACCTATTATTCATTAGTGATATAAGGGGTTTGAAATACATTTTAAAGGTGGAACTGCTGAAAAACCTCAGCACAGTTTGAAAACCATGATCGTGGAGGAGGGCAGATTAGTAAGAATCCGAGAGTTCTCAACTCCTGCCTTGGCTCTGCCTCTTGTTAGCAATTTGATATAGAGGAGACCACTGAACTCCTTGAAGCTTCTGTTTTTTTCAAAGAGCAAAATTATACTGCATTGGGGTTGCTGTACACAGTAAATGACACATGCATGACATCTGGCACTAAGCCCTCAATAAACGGGAGTTCCGTATCCCTCCTCTCTGCCTTCCGTCACCATCAAAAAGCTCCCCTAACCAGCAGGGCCTGCTCACTAAATCCAAACTCTTCTGCATGCCCTCCTGTAATATCTGCCCTTCTTGAGGGGACCTCTCATGCTCGGAACCTCTTGAAAGCAGGGATTGGGCTGAATCATGTGTCCTCAGGGCCTAAGGCCAAGCCTGGACTGTCGACCTGACACCTAGCAGAGAAGTAAGAAACCTGCAGGTGAAGATGGTTGTCTTCATTGGGCAATGACACTTCTAGGGACATCATGAGTTGATTTATGCAGAAGGTTCTACAGCTTCCACCCCCTCCACGAGGCTGTCGCTCTCCAGGAGTGGCTGTGCTCCTGTGACTGCTGCCTCCTTGAGCGGCGCCTATGCCACTTCAAGTGCGAGGAATTGGCTGATTTGACAAAGGCAACACCTGACAAGTCAAAAAGCTTGGAGTTTTAGGTAGATTACAAAAGATACTTTTTCTTGCGTCGATTCTTTCTTCTTTGTTCTGGGTAAACTTTGGTCTGTTGGGGGTTCTTACAGGAAACCTGAAGTTTCTTTTCACATTTAAAATTTATTGCTGTATCACATTGAAAATTTAATCTTTTAAAAAAGATTTTATTTATTTATTTTTACAGAGAGGGGAAGGGAGGGCGAAAGAGAGGGAGAGAAACATCGATGTGCAAGAGATATATGTATCTATTGGTAGCCTCTCACACACCCCCAACTGGGGACCCAGCCTGCAATCCAGGCATGTGCCCTGACTGGGAATCGAGCTGGTGATCTTTCAGTTTGCAGGCTGGCACTCAATCCACTGAGTCACACCAGCCAGGGTAAAAATTTTTTATCTTTTGTTGATTAGTAGTCTAGGTAGGGTTCAAGAAACTCTCAGATAATTTTTTCTTAGGAAGAATCAAGGCCTGGCTTGAATGCCTTGACTTCTATTGCATTCATTAGAGAAAAGAATATGGAAAAAGTCTTCACCTGGTAAAATGAATGCTCCTAGGCCAGGGTGGTAGGTCCCAGTCTGGGTCAGCTTTTAGTCATCTGCCTCATTGTCCCAGTGGCCATAGCTGCCGCTTGCATCTGGCTCTTCAATGGTCTCATTTTCAAAAGAAGCCTCTTTCTCCTCCCGGATCACCTTCATTAACTCAAAGAAGCTGGGGAGCAGCCATTGGTCTTTGAGCTCCCTCAGCCTGCACCGTAAGACCAAGCTGAGGCTCACCCCGGCCATGACCTGCTCCAGGCGGACCTGATCTGCGATATTCCTGGGGATGGCCCGTTTCTCCACTGTCTTCCTGGGCAGGGTCTCCAACTGCAGCACAGAGGCTGAGACTTCCTTACCTTCCTCCTGATAGGTCTTCAGATACCTCACCTGGGAGGTCCTGCGGCTCTCCAGGCTTCTGAACACTTGCTTAAATGCCTCCAAACACTCCACACTTACAGACAGGTCGTCTACCTGCACTGGGCGCATGAGGTCCAGGGCGGGGCCCCAGAAGCTTTCCATCAGCCACCTTTTCTTTTCTGCCACCGGCCACTCTTTGACTATCTCCATGGATTGTTCCCACCAGATTTCAAAGGGCTCTTCCTCTGGGCTGGGCACGGTGCTCCCCGAGAACACTCTCAGCTTTGGGCACCTCATGGGGAGCAGGGGCTGAGGGGTGTGGGCAGGAGACTGCCTGTTCCAACACGTGGGCTAGGAACTCTGGGGACATGTAGGGCGCTGTAGCTGGAGACACTCCCTCATGCCCAAGGGCTTGGAACACACCTGGGACTGTCTGCCCCTCCTTTTCTAGAAAGAGGTTCAGTCTTTCAAGAAATTCAGTGTCCTGGTTAGGAGTCTTAAAGATTACTTTCCAGACAAGCCCCCTCCCCTGAACCTCACGGGAGATCGCTGAGACATCAGTGTCCTCCTGAAGCCCCAGCAGGGCAGCACTGGCACTCTCCTGCTTCGGGAATATCTTGCCCAGCAGCCTACACCCTCCCAGAGGCTGCAGTGTCTCCTGGAGCACCTCCCAAATCTCAGCCTTGTCGCACTCCAGGGGGATGCCCGTGATCATCAGTGACTTGCGGTCATCTGCATTCACGATCCGGCACCAGTCCTCCAGCAGTGCCAGCGCCATCACTGCGGGCCTATATTTGCTCTAATTCTAGGGGTACAATTAATTCGTGGGGCAGGTAGGTGCTCCCTTAGGATTCCAAGTGTCCTGGATAAACTCCTGAACTTATAACTTACCAGGGAATGGGTTTCAGGTCAGCTCATGCCAACTGCAGTTGCAAAGTCTTCCAGTCTAGCTACCCTTACTTGTCCAGTGGCAAGAACTCAGCACTTCTGGTTCTGTCTCTAAACCTGACCCAAGGAGTGTGATTAGTGAATTGGTTAGGATAGCACTGCTGCCAGTGGCTCAGCAGGTACATGGCTGCTGTTTCTCTCCTGGATGCTAGCAGCCATGGGGTGGTGTTGACCCTTCCTCGGCGAGGGAGGCATGGACCAGAGCTGCTCTCACACTCTCTGGGTCTCTGCCACTTCACGTCCCTCTGGTCAGTGTGTGGACGCCTCCACTCTTGCCCCCAGATGTCCTAGAGAGAAGTCTCAAGGCAGAGTGTCTGGGCCTCCTAGTGAAATAAGGGGCAGTTACCACACCACCCTCTCCTTCCCAGGAAGCATGCATACTCTGGTTACTCTGGGTAGACTGGGGTTCTACCCTACATTGTAGTTGTGCCTATCTCACTGTATCAGATCTCTTTGCTTAGAGTGACCTTTTTTTCCTGTTGGGTCACTGCAATCTGGCTTCCTCACCATTCGCTCATTGGACATGCCAATTGATGTCTGAGCCCAGCTGTGGCCAGGGCTCAAGGTCCATCCCACGTGAAGGATGAAATCAGGACTTGTGGCTACTTACCTGTTTACGTGCTCCCAAATGTTCTGGAGAGTCAAGGAGCTTGTTTATTCAGCTTCTAGTGCAGGCAGATGTCACCCAATTCCACACAATGACTGTGCCTGGATGCTCCTTAGCTCCATCAAGTCACACTGCCCTGTTACACATAAATAATAATGGTGTGTTTTTATGGGTCGATAATATCCAGTAATGAAGACTGTTAATGCACTTATTCAAAAAATATGACAACCCACTTCCGGCAAGATGGAGGCATAGGTGGACACACCGTACCTCCATGCACAACCAAGATTAGAACAACAACAATTTAGAGGCAGAATAACACCCAGAACTGACAGAGAATTTATCTGAATGGAAGTCGGACAGCCAAGACGTTGAAGTAGACCCATTCATCCAGACCGGTAGGAGGGACAAGCGTGGGTCGCGGTGGTGGAGTGCGAGGAGAGCTGGGCACCTAAGGCAACCAGGAGCGAGTAAGCCATCTGGGGTGCACAGAGGGTGGACCCTGAGTTCGCAAACGGCAACTGGCGGACCCAGTGAGGCTGCGATTGTGGACCAGGACGGAGCATGCAGCCCAGGATTCCAGAGAAGGGACTGAGATCCCAGGAGAGTGGGGCTGCCGCCATTGTTCCCTCCTGCCCCCACCCCCGCCCCCACATACAACCTCACAATCTAGTGACTGGGGTGCCCAGCCCTGGTGAACACCTAAGGCTCCGCCCCTCACGGTAACAAGAGTGACCAGACCAGGAAAAAAAAAAGAGAGAGCAATGGCTCAAATAGAAGAACAAATCAATGCCCCAGAACTCATCCTTTTGAGCGACCAAGAAATAGCTAACTTATCAGATGCACAGTTCAAAACACTGGTGATCAGGAAGCTCACAGAATTGGTTGATTTTGGTCGCAAATTAGATGAAAAAATGCAGGTTACCATAAAAGAGATGAAGGAAGATGCACAGAGAACCAACAGTGATAGGAAGGAAACTGGGACTCAAAACAATAGAGTGGACCAGAAGGAAGAAAAAAACAAACAGGAAATAATGAAGAAATAAGAATTCAAAAAAACGAGGAGAAGCTTAGGAACCTCCAGGACATCTTTAAACGTTCCAACATCCGAATTATAGGGGTACCAGAAGGGAAAGAGGAAAAGCAACAGATTGAACACATAATAAAGGAGAACTTCCCCATTTTGGCAAAGGAAATAGACTTCCAGGAAATCCAGGAAGCTCAGAGAGCCCCAAAGAAGTTGGACCCAAGAAGAAACACACCAAGGCACATCATAATTACATTAGCCAAGGTAAAAACGAAGGAGAGAATCCTAGAAGCAGCAAGAGATAAGGGGACAGTAACCTACAAAGGAGTTCCCATCAGACTGTCAGCTGATTTCTCAAAAGGGACCTTACAGGCAAGAAGGGGCTGGAAAGAAATATTCCAAGTCATGAAAGACAAGGACCTACATCCAAGATTGCTCTATCCGGCAAAGCTTTCATTTAGAATGGAAGGGCAGATAAAGTGCTTCTCAGATAAGGTCACGTTAAAGGAGTTCATCATCACCAAGCCCTTATTTTATGAAATGTTAAAGGGACTCATCTAAGAAAAGAAGATAAAGAAAAAAAACATGTACAGTAAAAGGACAGCAAACTCACAATTATTAACAACCACACCTAAAGCAAAACCAAAAGAAACTAAGCAAACAACTAGAACAGGAACAGAACCACAGAAATGGAGATCACATGGAGGGTTAGCAACAGGGGAGTGGGAGGAGGAGAGAGGGGGAAAAGGCACAGAGAATAAGTAGCATAGATTGTAGGTTGAAAATAGATAGGGGGAGGGTAAGGATAGTATGGGAAATGTAGAAGCTAAAGAACTTATAAGTATGACACATGGGCATGAACTAAAGGGGGGAATGTGGGTGGGAGAGGGTGTACAGGGTGGAGGGGAGTGAAGGGGGGAAATGGGACAACTGTAATAGCATAATCAATAAAATATATTAAAAAATATGACAATCCTTCACAATGTAATTAAGTCTACTAAACAATATAATTGCTTCAGTTCTTTGATTAAAAAATCCAATGAGAAGTTATTCAAACATTTATATCTAATTTAATATCAATATAACAATATAACATATACTTTAATATAATAATGTAGGCACAATAATTTAATAGCAGTTTAGCAATTTTTTAAAATCTCAGGGTCAAATAAGCTTGGAATTATGAATTCATTCTCTTGTTATGTTTGGGCAGGCTTTGCAACTGCACAAGGTGTTGCCTTTGTTATGAATGTTAAGTTACTAACATGCTACCTTCTTCGTAGCATTTGAACTTGAGCAGGGTCATTTGAAGAAAAAGGAACAGAGAGGGAGGGCCAGTGGAGAACGGGTCAGGTACAAGGGGAAGAGTGCTGACATCCCCAGCTACTGCTGTGGAGTGGGGTCCACATGCCACAGATGCAGACCTGAGGCCCCAGAGGCAGCTACTCCTACAGCAGGTGCACTTCCCCAGTCCTTCTGGAAGCTTCTCAAGGTATGGTGCGTGCCAAGGGCCAGGAAGGCAAAATGATGGGTAGAGCCTTGGCCCAGCAGCCCTAGGTATCTGAGCCCAGTGATTTCTCTATGCCTCACTTTCCCCTTCTGACATGTGGATACGGGGGGAGTTTGGCGGAGGGAACTTTCCTCTTCTTTGTAATATTTTGAGGAAATATGAAATATAAAAAGGCATCAAATGCCCAGGAAGAAATATCTCCAAGGTCCACATGATGACTGCTATGCTGAGGTTAGGCTACCTTTGGGTAGCTTCTTCCTCCAAGGGCAATCCCTCCCTGCAAGGCAACCTTCAGAAACAACGATGGCAAGTGATTCATGGTCCTTGATACACCAAATCCATGGATTGAAATATTTGGATAAGAAAAAATGTATTTTCTAACATAAAGATAAGACTGGTTATTAAACAAACAAACAAAAAAAGAACTAGCCCTTGTTGGTGTGCTCAGTGGATTGAGTGCCTATCCGTGAACTAAAGGGTTGCTGGTTCGATTCCCAGTCAGGTCACATCAAAAGAAACTAAAAGCTACTGTTCTCATGCTTCGTTTCCACTGAGGGTAGGCGGTTGCAGCCTGTCCAGGTAAAAGGACCGAAGCTTCTGGGTCAGGAGACAGCACTTCCCGGCGCACACCTGATGCGGGTGGCTGTCCTGGGGCTGCGCTGACCAGCACGGGAAAGGGAGCAGGGTGCCGTCCTTGTCTACGGGACTGGAAGGAGGAGTTGGGCGGGGGTGTGCCCCGACGTCGACTTGAGGACACGCAAGAAGATCCATAAACAAAACCAGATGGATGTTAGCAAAACCATAAGTCAAAGCGGGAGCCTTAAGACAAGGGAGCAACAGGAGTTGGTGGGTTGTAAGGCAGGGTGGGGTGTGGGATGTGGCCACACCCAGTGAGTGGTTTAGGCAGGTCCCAAAAGAGGACAAGGGGTGATATTTAAGTTGGTGGGTATAATGGGAAAGAAAATCGAGTAGGAAGTTCAGGAAGATATTATGGAAGCCACCGAAGTCTATGGAACGTGTATGTTAATTAAACAGCCCTGGACAGAGCGGGGCTCTGGAAAGGAGACAGGGCGTGGGGCATTTGGCTATGAGGGGTTGCGATGAGAAAAGATTAAACATGTCAAGAGTGATAAAAACGAAAAAGAAAATGAGATAAATGTTCCAACCTCACTTCCTCTGTTAAAGCTGCCTCTTCAAAATGTCCTCTCCCCACAAAGGATGATCTATTTAAAATGTCCTTTTCCCCTAACCGGTGTGGCTCGGCTGGGCCACATGCCACAAAGCAAAAGGTCACTCAGTCCCTGGTCACTGAGTCCCCAGTCAGGGCACACACCTGGGTTGGTTGCGGGCCACAACTCTAGCGCAGGGCACGCAAGAGGCAACCACACATTGATGTTTCCCTCTCTTCCTCCCTCCTTTCCCCTTTCTCTAACAATAAATAAATAAATAAATAAATAAATAAATAAATAAATAAATAAATAATCTAAAAAAATAAAGATTGGTTGGACAAGGAACCAGACTTTCACATGGAAGATCCCCACTGGGTTTGGTCCTTTAATTAAGATAGTGACCTTGGAAAAAGCCTCTCAATCTCTCAATCTCAGGTTCCTACACTGGAAAGCGGTGATGGTAAAGCACTCCTCTCCCCCAGCAGAGGAAATGATGCAATTATGGTGGAAGCACTTGCTTCAAATGCAAAGCGTATAAGGTTCGGTTCTAAGTCCAAAGCGCACCTCTGGTTCTCTCAGCCTCAACATTTGCATTTCTCTTCTTCCTCCTTCTCCCCTTCTAGTTCGGAGACTCTCCTGCCTCCAGCCCCCACCCCACTGTGGCGGGCTCATCCTGAAACTGTGACTGGTTGTCCTCCAAATTTTACTCCATTTACCAAACTACCCCTCCCAATTGGGGGAGGGGAGAGTATCAGAACTTAATCCTTCAAGGGGCAAGGGCTGACAATGGGACAACATCCTTGATCACACTGTCGGGAGCAATGGCCCTGCACTAAACAGCCTTTTAGCCCAAAACCCTCCTGGTTACTGAGCTTGCCCACACCTCCCTCTTGAGACGCCAAAGGATGGGCATCATCTCGGCAGATGGGCTCATCTCGGCAGAGTTTTGCCACTGTGGAAAGAGGGGTGGGGCTGTAACCAACTGGATGGAGGGACTGATACAAGGAAAAACGTGGGGGAGGCGAGTAAGCAGCGGAGAACCGTCAAGGACCGTGCTGGTGGCACAAGTCAAAATGCTTCCTGGATGCCCAGCAACCCCGTGGCTATGGCTGGTCTAAGCGCACATACACAACAAAGCCCCACAATTTTGCCTGCTTTGCCACACACAATTCAAAGCACCCGATCACAGACAGAACCCCATCTCCTACCCCACACTGGACACGTGCGTCCGCACTTAACGCCTCGGCCACGCGACTCTGGCGCAGTGCGCAACTGGGGGGAGGGAGCACCAGACCGGGAAGGGCTGGAGATTTGGGGATTGGGCTCTTCCTCTCTTCTTTTTTGGGGGGAGGGGGGTGAAGAAGACACCAAATCGAGACATTCTCTACGCCCTTCTTGGCGTAGAGGCACAGTTAACGGTAGGTACGTAGCGCCCTCCCACACGCTGTCTGCACAACCACCCACTGTATGTATTAGTGGTCGTGCTCGGCCGGGCTTTGCAGACTGCACTCTTGGCTGCACTCCGGCGGGCCGGGCCGTAGACCTGTGTCTCTCTCCCCAACCCCACACCCATCATTTGCTATGCCCCTCTTCATTTTCCCCCGCCATGCTGTGCCCCCCCCCCCGCCCCCACCTCTGTGGATGAACTAAGTAGAACCTTCCTGTTTCAACCTCTGCTCCCAAGAGCCCACCAAAACCAGTGGGTAGACCGAAGCTTTGGTGTCTTGTGCGAGGTACGGCCCCCACCTCTCTGCGAGGCCTGCTTCATCCCTTCCCCACGCTCAGTGGGGCCCCTTCCTCTCTCCTCGGGTGTCCTGGCACCAGCCAGTTTGCCCCCCTTTCCCCATCCATCACCTCACGCCCCGGGCAAGGGAAGGAGCCTTCCGGCCCACCTCCGAAATGCTGTAGGGAAGAGGCGCCAGGGCCGGATTGGTGGAAGAGAAGGGCGCTGGGCCAGGGGCTGCGCCCTCGGATCTCCGCCCCCGCGTGCCAGTCGCGCACTCACCCTGGAGCTGACCTCGGTCAGCGGTCCCTCGGCTTCACACCCCTTAGTCAGTCGTCTGGCCGCTTCACTTCCGGAGCGCGGGGCTCCGGGCTGCGCGGCCCTCCCTCCCTCCCCAGCGCCCAGTCCCCTCCCGGGCGCCCCGCCCACGCCCCGCCCGCCGCTGCCGGGAACTGGCAGCTTCTGGCTCCCGCTGCCGCAACGGCCACCCTCCCAGACCCAACTTTGCAGCTGCCGGGAGCTCGCGCGGCGGCGGGGGGCGTGGGCAGGGAGGGGAGATAGCGGGGGTCAGGGGGAGGGACTGGAAGGGAGGGTCGCCCACTCGCCTGCTCCGCTTCCTCTCTGTGCACCTTGCGGTAGGCAGAGAGCGGCAGCAGCCGGGGGGCTGTGCACAGAGAGAGGCAGACTTAGGGACCGCAGACGGACGGACAGACGGAGGGAACCCTCCCCGACCCCCCATACCATGGCCGAGAAGAAGCAGTCTGGGAAGGCGGCAGAGGACGAAGAGGTCCCTTCCTTTTTTAAAAACCTGGGTTCAGGCAGCCCCAAGCCTCGGCAGAAATTCTGTGGCATGTTCTGCCCAGTGGAAGGGTCCTCGGAGAACAAGACCATCGACTTCGATTCGCTCTCGGTGGGCCGGGGCTCGGGGCAGGTGGTGGCTCAGCAGCGGGACGTCGCCCACTTGGGCCCCGACCCGCAGCCGCCGTACTCCCGGCAGGGCCGGCGCACCGGCGGGGAGCCATCTGTTGAATCGGGCCGGAAGGTGGAGATTCGAAGGGCCTCGGGCAAGGAAGCCCTGCAGAACATCTACGACCAGGTTGGTTATGGGGGGAGGGGAAGGTTTGAGAAGGAGGACAGGGCAGGGGGATCGCCCCTCCCTCGCATCCCAGCCTGCCCACCGCCCTGCCCTTCCCCACATCTGTACTAGAGCTCCACCCTAACCTGCCCTTCTCCACGCTTTGGTGCGGAGGGGCTCGGCTCGGCTCGGCGGTGGGCGGCTGTGTGCCCACAAAGGCTGCCCGCGCCTCCCTGGGTCTAGGAGGTGGAGGATGATGGGGAAAGGATGGGCCGATCCCCGGCGGGAGGTCGCGTGGTGGGGGGTGGGGATGGGCGGTGGTTCCATTCTTCTTAAATCCTCCCAGGCGGCTTCCGATTGCAGCTCTGGCTGTGTGTCCCACCCTTTTCTTTAAGGCGACTCAGCTTGCGGTGGAGGGCTCGTGAAAAGGGCCGCGGGCTCCCCGGGGGTCGGGAGGGCGGGGGCTCCGACGGCTGCTCCCCTCCGCGCGCTGCGCGTCCTGCGCGCTCTACACCACACCGCCTCCCACGCGCTCCGCGCTCGCGTCCGGATCTGGAGGCCAGTACCATGGTCAGCTCCTCCCGGAGGATCTCACCACCCTGACTCGGGTTCGCAAAGTGAGAAGAACCAGGCAGGCGGTGGAGTCACCCGAGGAAACCCAGATGCTCCTAAATAGCCCATGTGGAGAACAAAGTTCCGCTAAGTATCTCTCAGCCAGGGCTTCCCAGAGCGCGCTCGCCCTATTTGGGAGGTGCTTTGGAGATGGGGGACTAAGTGGATTATCTTCAAAGGGTAAAAAGAAAAGGAAAGAAAAGAAAAGGGGAAAACCCTTCACATATGAATAGATTGTCAAAAATGGATGGGACTCCCTGTACTGCGTTGATGGGTAGGTAACAAAGGGGATCAACTTGGTAAACCTTGATTTTAGAAAATGTTATTCACCAATGGCAAATATGAACAGTGTGCATTTCAAGTGCAGTTGTTTTCTCACACCACAGTCTTTTTTTCTTTATCAAAGAGACCCTCATACTTGTGCAATCCCCTCCCCCTCCCCCACAGCCTTAATTTTTTCAACTGATGAATTGCAGTACGCAATGTTTCATCACTTGTTTGCTGTTTCTGTCCCAGGGCCATTGCTGAAGATGAGAAATCAGTTAATGATTGATTATTTATTGAATACCTATTGTGTGCTTTGTCTTGCAGGGCTGGGGGAAGGTTAGTTATATGAAAAGTTTAAGGCAATTTCTTCCTACAGGGCCTCCAGAGTAGTAGGGAGTGGTCCAGTGATCCCACAAGTATCTTGTGGCAGCAGTCAGGCTGTGTGCTCACAACGAACACATCAGAAAACCATGAACAATTGGTGATTGATGGCCCAAACGTGTTTCCTGATGTGGCAGAGAGTTTTGCAGCTTTTTACTCTTATAGAGTCAATTCTAGGAAAGATAAACCACTTGCTGTCATGTTCAAAGATGGGGCAACTAATTACTTAATTGATTCCTCTTCCTCTAGCCCAGTCTTGAGATCTGTTTACATAGGGGCTACCTGATATTCATATTTCACCAAGTCAACCAGAAAAAACTTAATCCGAAAAACTCACTTTGTTCCAATTGATTAGACAAACTTTTAAAATTGAAGTAAAAGTTTCTAACCATGTAACTAATACTGAAAGCAGAGTGAGGGTGAAATAACTTCCCTACAGGAGTACATGGAGTGAGGCCAAGCCATGAGCATACAGCATCACAGTTACATGAGTATTCTCAGCTTCAACTCTCTGTGCTTGCTGGTGATTCTAAGGACTTTAAGGGAGTGGGAAATGCTGTGAGATAAGAAAGAGATCCTTTAAAACATGGCGACTCAGGCAGAGATGAAAAGTGGCCACTTCACTAATGATGGCAGTAAATTAAAACTTGAGTTTGAAAGGCACATTTCACTGGGTTGAATCACACATCTTTTTTTCTGTTCCTTTAGAATCATAGTCATGATCATCAGAGCTAGTTACTTGAACACACTCCAAATTTCATAGAAATTCTAAATTGTAAGTCTAGGGCACGTGGAAGAAGGAACTTTATTTTCTGAAAGATTTTATTTATTTATTTTTAGAGAGTGGGGAAGGGAGGGAGAGAAACATCAATATGAGAGAGAAACATCAATGTGCAAGAGATACATTGATTGGTTGTCTCTCCAACGCCCCCAGCTGGGGCCTGGCCTGCAACTCAGGCATGTGCCATGATTGAGAATCGAACCAGTGACCTTTCGGTTCACAGGCCAGCACTCAATTCACTGAGTCACACCAGCCAGCGCTCTTCTTTTTTTTTTTTTTAAGTTGAGGTAAAATTTCCATAACATAAAATTCTCATTTTAACCATTTTAGTCGACAATCCAGTGACTTTAGTACATCACAGTGTTGTGCAGCCATCACTACGGTCTAATTTCAGAACATTTTCATCACTCCAGAATGGAACTCCATGTCCGTGAAGCAGTCACGTCCTGTTGCCCCCCACCCTCACCCCCACCTTTGGCAATCACGATTCTGCTTTCTCTCTCCCTGGAGGTGCCTGTTCTGGACATTTTGCGTAAATGGAATCATATCTTACGTAGCCTTTTGTGTCTAGCTTCTCTCATGTAGTGACATGCTTTCAAGGTTCATTCACATTGTAGCTGTGTCAGTCCTTCCTTCCTCTTTATCATGTGACAATATGCATTGTTTGTATACAGCACATTTATTTACCATTCACCAGTTGATGGACATTTAGATTGGTTTCACTTTTGGGCTGTTATGAGTAATACTGCTATTAGCATTCTTTTAAAAGTTTTTGTTTAAGCTAGTGTCTTTAGTTCACTCAGCTATATACAAAGGAGGGAAATCGCTGGGTCATACGACAATTCTGTGTTTAGCTTTTGGAACAACTGCCAAACTGTTTTCCACAATTTTACCACCTTTTTCCATCCCTGCCAACAAAGGGTCCCAATGTCTGCACATCCTCCACAGCACTGGTTATTTTCCTTTTTCACTAATTATAAACATCCTAGTGAGTGGGAAACGGTGTCTCATTGTGGTTTGACTTCGTATTTCCTTAATGATTAGTGATGTTGAGCATCTTTTCATGTGCTTGTTGGCTGTATATCTTCTTTGGAAAAATATCTATTCAAGTCCCTTGTGAATTTTTAAAATTGAGTTGTTTGTTTCTTGTTGAGTTACAGGAGTTCTTTACATATTTTGAATACTAGCCCCTTATCAGATACTTTATCCGCAAATAATGTTCTCCTGTTCTGTGGATTCTCTTTTCATTTTCTAGAGTGTCCTTTGATGCACAAAAGTTTTTAATTTTGATGAAGTCCAGTTTACCTATATTTTCTTTTAATGCTTATGCTTTTGATGTTAGTTATTCCTGGCTGTTCTAGGACTGCTGGATCTGCCAGGGAAGTTCCAGAACTTCATTTCCTAAAATGATGTTCATGTAACTAAATTCTAGTGTTTTATGGGAACTTAAATTTAATTAGGAATAGCATTTGCAGGTTAGTGTTCTCGAGTGCTTTGGGTACTGCGTAGGTCTGGTTTTTCTGTATCAGGATCCTATTCATGCAAAGAAAGTCCCTCTGTGTGTGTGTGCATTCACACATATATGTGGTATTATATACTGGCACACATATATTTACGGGGCAGTGATTAACAAGCTGAATTTAGGAAAATAAATTTGAGAAACTAATTGAATTCAGTTTTTTATTTTGTTTTATTTTTTAGAGGTAACATGACAAAGTACCATGTTTACTGTAGGTTATCCTGATAAGCAAATTTTTTAAAAGAAATAAATCACCGATGATTTTATTATCTAGAAATGACCACTGGTAGCATTTTGTCATATTGTTTTTTTCGGTCTCTATACTTCCACCGAAAATCAGTGCTTTTTAGCATCCCTGACATCACTGGGTATTAATAGTCTTACAGGTATTTCCCAAATTTGTAGATGACAAGTGGCATCCTTCTTTTTGCCTGTTTCCTATTGAGGTATTCATATGTTACACATTGATTCATAAAATTATATATTAAAATGTATCCATTTTAATATCACTTGTTATGTATTTTTTTCCTAGCTTGTAATTTTGTATGGCCTTTTCTTTTAAATTTCCACATTTAAAGTTTACACACAGTTAAGTCAATTTATGTTTTCTGACATTTTTTTGCCTTTCAAGATTATTACTTATATTTTATTTTAAAACTTTTTTTGGGTTCTGTGTTTATATTTAAATCTGGCAATTAATTTTTGTTTATAACTTGAAGTGAGTTACAACAATTTTTCAAGTAGTTAGCTAGTT